TTGCAGTCTCCCCATACACGGCACGTGCCTTAATGTGCTGAATCCCAAACCTCCCCTAAGACAGATAAATCCCCCATGACCTAAAAATCCTCCGGTCCTGACTATAAATTAAGTCAGGACCAGAAAGAGATTTGGACATTCTCCCCCGAATTCTGGTGGCATATTTCTATACCTCCCACTATTTTCGGTCCATCCTAGGTAGCGAATCCTCCACCGCACGACGACCGGCCCAAAAAGAACCCCCCGGTGGTTCGCAACCGCCACGACCAACTCCTGAGGAACTCAGTGGGTCGCAGCCCCACCAGAGTCAGTCCGCCGGGCCGCCCACCGTGCGGCAGAGCCCCCCACCAGTGATGAACTCAATTACTCTACGCTCTCCACCACAGCGTATGTAATGTTAACAGTGGGCGAGGACTTGGTTCAAGGCCCACGGACTGACCACCTGAACGAGAACTACTCATATCTCAGTCCCGCCCCCTGCCCCAGAATCGGCGTGGTGACCGACTCAGGGTGGCTCGTAGTCAGGAGGGTCTGAGACAGCGCTCGTCCATTCCATCCAGGGCACTTGTTCCTCCTCCCAGCCCAACCTGCATAAAAATAAAATATTAGTAATATTTTACTAAAACATATTGCAGCCACGTTGATGGACACGTGGCATGCAAAGATTTTGGGTGAAATAAAGTGTGGGGGTGGTTCGCTGTTGTGAACCACCCACCTTGACATGCTTCTTGCTTCCCCCTACACACTCAACACAAAAATGTGGCACCCCCACCTCCTCTCCTCGAGAAAATAATTTCTCTGGAAACTAGTGGGAGAGGAGAAAAAAAAACACATGTCTCACTTCAAACTCCCGCACGTGCCTCTTAAAAAAAAAGAAGATATATTTAAGTACCTGTTCACATTCATTTGTTCACTAGAAAATGACTAAATTATTCATTTATTGTAAGAATATGATAAAGTCATGAATGAAAGTGAACCTCTTTATAAATGTTTCTTCATAGAAATTAATGAATATTTAACTTCAGATTTTGAATAAATGAATAATGAATACATATTTGTTCAGGTTTTAAATTGAATGAATTTTGAATGAATATTTTGTTAAATAGGTAAATGGAGAATTATCAGTAACACTGTTCCCGTTAAGAAGAATATCGTCAGATTACGCAGAACCCCGCTCGGGCTTTTGGAAGAAGGAGAAATCCTGCAAGCTTACAAAGCCCAGCAATTGCTCAATGCGAGCTGTAATATTGTCTACAGCTCGCCGTGGATTGTTCAACAGGCGGGAACATTCCTAATTTTTGCTATTTTTACGTCCTTCTTCTGCATCCGGCTTCACAAATTTGTTAACCCGATAATTACGGGAATTATCTTTGTAGCTATGTTAGGAGATATTTGTATTGTTTGGATAGAAACTTATTTTATGGCGGATGTTTCCTTAGCGGGGGATAGGTTTTTGAAAATTATGCGGGAAAGCCATATCAGGCAGTCGGAAACGAAGAGGAGCATTATAGCGCTGTGGAATGTACATTTTAAAATTGCTCATCCACTGTTTCTCATGAAAAAGAGGACGTTTCTGACTTTCATGAGGGCATTGGTGGACTTTACGCTAACTATGATTTTAAATTCGAAGTAGAATTTATGTTACCTTATTAGCTCGCCCTGCGTAGCACGAGAGCTATTGAATTCCTCGTGTCCGTCCATCCGGCCGTCTGTTGACGAGTTTTTTGCATTAATTGATGCTGATTAAAAATCCCCTTGTCCATTATAGACTTGTTTAGCCTCACCATTGGTATAGAACAATCCGAGCGCAAATGGTGCAAGTTAATTCAGCAAATAGGTCGAGATAGGACTATAATTTTGGAATAAGTAGCACCGTTAGTACCGAGCAATTGGTTGTTAAAAATGATGCGTAACAATTGGGCCATCTGTTTCCGCCCAAAAATCATGTCAGAATTCTGTTCTATTGGTTCGATTATTCTGCACCATTCACGCAAAAACATATAAATTTTATAATAAATAATTGGGGAAGGGATGCCCTACGCAGCAATGATGCAGAATGTCGGGAGGAAGAACCATACAATTTTTTCAAAGTTTTCAAAATTATGTTCCCCATTGGTCGCAAATGTTGCACTAGTGGTGCAAACTAATTCCCGATTTTTTTTATATTCTTCCGTTGATATTTGATATTGTGCCATTGGTGCAAGAATCTATGAGAGTTATAACCTATTTTGTCGCCTTATTCAGTACCTTTGGTGGAAAGTTATATGACAGGGTGAGCTACTTCTAACGTTACTACGGTTTATTTAATGTTTGACGTTTGAATGTGTGAGAGATAACTAAGGAGTAAGCAATCGTTTTCGAGCTCAGTAATTCGGGTGCATAACGACTTATTATGTTTTGAAAATTTTTATTGGTGGGTATTTATTTGACATAAAAAGATACACCAATTCAAATGGCGGGTTGTTACATTTCCATTACGTAAATCATATTGTCTAATTCTTCGCAATTCCATTATGATTTTAAGAGTTTTGTTATAATATCTAATTCGACCACCGCAACGGAAATAATGAACCAATAATGGGTCTGATTATTATCCTATGATTTGTCGATTTTGGATCATGGTAAAACAATAGGAAAGGAATAAACTACGATAATTATGTGATTAGGTTAGCCGCATAGCGCGAACAATATATACAATTATAAATTAATATGTATTACAGGGTGTTGGAAACTCTAACCAAATTTTAAAGTTCTGAAAATAAGTGGTCCAGAAATTGAAAATCCATGCAACCGTACAAATTTATGGAGTAAATTCGAAATGGATATACATGGAATATTGACGTGGAATACATGGAATATGGCTGAAGAATACTGTGGTCAAAAGAAGGTCGTCATAATCAACAAGTTCCTGAAACACATAAATTCTTGGAAGCCTCAAAATATGAGCCAGAAGGGCACGTGTATATGTATAAACGCATGGCCCCAGCGATTATTATGCAGCGATTATATTTAGTGCAGTTGGTTGGTTCGGGAAATGTACCCTCGGTAGTGCCACATTGAAAAGGGGCTGCGGTGGTGGGTGGCACGGAGGTGGTTGATGGCGTAGTGGGAACCGTCGCAATTGTAGTAGTTGCCGGGAGAAGTGTCGTTGAGGGGAGCGTGACTTGGCAAGTTCCTGTAACGCATAGCTTCTTGGAAGCATCAAAATATGAACCCGAAGGACAAGTGTACGTGTATAAGCGCATTGCTCCAGCGATTATTATGCAACGATTATATTTTGAGCAGTCTGTCGGTTCAGGAAATATACCCTCGGTGATAGCGCATTGGAATGGAGCTAGTGTAGTGGATACTACCTGGGTTGTGGTTGCTTCTGGTGTTGTATCGGGTACTGTCGCAAGTGAAAGCAACGCATTTGATATATCGGGTACAATCCCCTGGGTATGGGTAAAATCCGGGGGCAGTGCAGCTAGGCATTTCTGGTCCAGCGGTAGTGGTTGATGAGGTTAAGGTCGTCGCAGGGGTGGTGGCTACTTCCGCCGTTGTGGTGTCAATTGTCGTTACTATGATTGTAGTTAATACTGTGGTGGGGGAAGTTGTTGTCGGGGTGGTGGTCTGACAAGTTCCAGGTGCACATAATCTGGATACCTGGTTGTAGTAACTATTTGCTGGGCAAGTCATTTCGTATTTGACCATTTGGCCCATAATGAGTAAGCATCTATAATACATATTACAGTTCGCATGCGGGAAGGTGCCCTCTGTTACACATGTGAACGGCGATGGTGTTGTCAGTGTAGTTGTTAGTGCTGTTGTGGGTAGGTTAGTGGTTGTTGGTTGGTCGGTGGTTGTTGGTAGGTCTGTGGTGGTTGGTAGATCTGTGGTTGTTGGTAGATGTGTGGTTGTGGGTTGGTCTGTGGTTGTTGGTAGGTCTGAGGTCGTAGGTAGATCTGTGGTGGTTGATAGATCTGTGGTTGTGGTTTTGTCTGTGGTTGTTAGTAGATCTGTGGTTGTTGGTAGATCTGTGCTTGTTGGTACATCTGTGCTTGTTGGTAGATCTGTGGTTGTTGGTGATTCCAGGGCAATTCATAGCAGGCGATTCATAGCCACATAGCTCGTAGCATAAAATTCATAGCACGTACATACCATAGTCGTTATGACTGATAGTAGTATCCATACATAGCGCATCTTTTCGTAGCACGTACAATACATATTTATATCGCTACGTAGCAATACATAGTGATAAACCAAATCCGAAATTTTATCAACTGACTAAACAAATAATTTTTGACTTGAGTCAAAGGTTATGCCCCTGCTTTATCCGTTTATCCATCTGGCTATAGCCAACATAACCTTCGTTAAACTCATCTTATTCACTTGAATTTTTTTACAAATATTTAGACTGGGTCATATTACAGCGGTGTGAGTCATGGGTTTAGTGCTGAATATTCGAAAAATAGCTCACAATAAGTTCAAATAAATCTCTACTTGGTCCATTTTTGGACAAACTCATCAATGATCCATCGATGGACTATCTCGTGCATAAATAAGATACGCTTTTACTGCTCTTTGAATGCAAATATCTCTGCCAAACGTGCCCATTGAGAGATCGTGTCTTTTACAAATTTCATACTAATTAAATAAATTTGCGATTGATTGACACAAAATTGCTCAAAATTCTGAAAGCATACGCTGGGAGTTGTGTAAGATTTGGGATCCAAAACGTACAAAATCTTATGTTGAAGGTGGCGATTTTTAATTTTAGGTGAAAAAAACACTATGAATTGTACTGCTATGAATCGTATTAATCTATCAGATATAATAGCTTCAAAAACTATGTGCTACGAGTTGTAGCATGCTACGAATTGTATTTTTGCTATGAATTGTATCTGCTACGAATTTCATGCTATGAACCGTCTGGCACCCGTTGTTGGTAGATCTGTGGTTGTTGGTAGATCTGTGGTTGTTGGTAGATCCGTGGTTGTTGGTAGATTTGTGGTTGTTGGTAGATCTGTGGTTGTTGGTAGATCTGTGGTTGTTGGTAGATCTGTGGTTGTTGGTAGATCTGTGGTTGTTGGTAGATCTGTGGTTGTTGGTAGATCTGTGGTTGTGGGTTGGTCCGTGCTTGTTGGTAGATCTATGGTTGTTGGTAGGTCTGTGGTCGTGGGTTGGTCTGTGGTTGTTGGTTGATCTGTGGTTGTTGGTTGGTCTGTGGTCGTGGTTAGGTATGTGGTCGTGGGTAGGTCTGTGGTCGTGGACAGGACTGTGGTTGTAGGTTGCTCAGTTGTTGGTGACTCAGTGGTTACTGCGTCAGTAGTTGAAGGCTCAGTTGTTTGTGGCTGAGTTGTTGGTGATTCTGTTGTTGGCGCAGTTGTGTCTAAAATTTGGTAGACTCGTGATTTCTCTTTACAAAATTGAAGGAATTGAAAAATTACCTGGAAAGGCTGCGCATGCGCCTGGTGGATCCTCAAAATAACCTCCTGAAGAGCATTGAGCACGATCGAGGTACCAATAATCACATTGGCAAGTGGGGTCAGGAATCAAGAAGCATTGATAATACCAAGTTTAGTGTACACATAATTAGTCAATATTTATATAAACGTATCAAGTAAATTAATTAAAAAAATTACATATCGTTCGGGTCCGCGAAAGGGGCCGTGGGGTCGCCACTCGGTGGGCACAAGGTCTCGTTGGTAGGATCAACCAAAATACCAATCTCCAAAATCCTTGAGTGATTGTTCTGGGCAACGCTTTTTGTTAAAGTGTCGTCCACCAAAATTGTTGCCAGCACAAATACCTAAATTCGCATAGAAGAGTGTGGATTAAATTCCGTTGATAAATTTATTTCAAGTTGCTTGCACAGACGTGAGAATTTTAAGTAATGCATGAGACTCACGAATAATGCAGTTTTGCAAATTAATTGAACCCCCATTTTGCTTTCTGTGTTTCGTTGCACTTCCAACGAAGTTCTGAGCACCAGGATCGGTGCGTTTCACATTATTAATAATAATCTTGCTCATAATTTATTGGTATCATCATGTAAGATTGATGTATGAAAGAGCGCCGGCCTATATATTTTATTGCGGTCATATACATAAATATGTACAGGTTCCGAGAAGTAGTGGTCCTCATTATAGATATTCTATTTAGCCTGGAGATAGTCTTTAATTTGGACGGCGGTATTCTCTCATTACTACTAATCAATTAAAAAACAGTCTTGACATTGGCCGATCATTTGTTGGACCTTAGTAGGCACACTATCAATATGCTCGGATGAATATTGTATTAATAAATTTGCATCAGATCGCAGTACTCATTGTCAGTCGATATATGATTAGCTTTTAGTGATTATTTTAATTTAGGTTTCAAGCCATACATACATTTTGAATTGTTTTATGATAGCATGCGTTGTTGCCTGCGGTGTAGCCAACCAATCTTGCCGCGTGGTAACACTACTGCAATTAATTATTGTCGAGAAATGAATCATAATTATTGTATGTGTTGATAAATGAAATGATATATGTCTGTATGTATGTATAATTTGATAATGTATGTAAATGTAAAAATGTATCACTTTTCCCCGTAATTTTAGTTTTTCTACATTTTCCTTTCCTCATTTGAAAATCACCAGAAGTCATAAAAATCGTAAAATACGGTACGCGAAGTGACCGCGATATACATAATTGAGGAAACTTGATTAGGTCCGCGACCGTAATAATTATCTTTTGAGCGTAAAAAATTGTCTGCTGCGTCGGTAATAGTTTTCTTATCAGAGCGTTGGCATGGATGCTTGAGCAGGATTGTGTAAAGAGGTATGTAAACCAGTGATCGATATTGATATCCGATCGACTGTATTTTTAATCAGCACAATATAAAAATTAGTGCAGTTGCATAAGTGGGCAATATACTTTGATTGGCAGACAGTTTGGCGACAGCCGTTTTGGCGGAAATAAATTTTCGCCAAAATGGTAAAAAAATTATCATAATAGTAGTGGCTGGCGAAATTTTTGTCTAATTTGGCGACATCGAAAAACTCATCTGTCGAAATATAAATTTGATTCGGGTGCATACCTTGTGAGTGATCTCCCTAATCAAAGTAGTGAACATACAAGTAGAGAAAATGAACTTGATTATACTTATAAATATTATATGTTCCGATCGTAAACTTTAGGTAATGAAGTTAAGTTTTAGGTAATCACTTAACTAGTTCGGTAATTGTTTCATATACGGTACATGCACGCATCATTTGCCATGCAATTCCTCGGATTTTATGCTTACATTATTTTATGTTTACTTCATCATATTATTTAATTTGATTGTAAGTTTATTACAGTTGAATCTTTCTACACGCAAATAACGGATGCCGCACAGTAATAAAGTAATATTTATGAATACTTAATTCTCCAAATTATATAGATGAAAATCTGTCGAAATTGCATTTCGGCAAGTCAGATCATTTGATTAAACGGATTAAATTCTGGAATTCCTGAGAATCGTTAAGTATAAAAGTGATCATCCCGTTTATTGAGGTGATTAAATATCGCTTGGCATGCAATTAAATTATGCATATTGGCCATATTTATGCCCAAATCCAGTTTTCACTTGATTTTTTCGGTTTGACACAATTCCACTAGCACTCTGGACACTATAATTGCATAATTTGTACATGCGCTGATTGGGTGCATTCCTGCCAATGTATTTTGTGCGTTAACTCTGTTTTTTAAAAAATCCTCATTTATTGAACGTACATTGGTATTACATACTTTAAATTGGTTTATTGTCACTAATTGCAGGGTTATGCCGCGCATAACAACGCTTGGAAGAGCCGCAAATAATGGCATGGGATTGTAATTATAAAATAAATAATATATTTCTTTGAAGTCGTTATGCAATATCGAAAGAGAAAAGCACCGACAAAGCTTTGAATTGGTTGTTGAGATAATCCGTTTACTAATTTAAATACTGCACGAGTTCGCAGAATGCATTAGTTACTAAGAGTATTTACATATAGCTATAAATACGTCAGCAGTATTTTTCTTGCACACGTTTTCATGTATTTCTACGTAAAGTACGTCAAGAATAAGATCTTAGATGTTAAGAAGCAAATATTTGTTGAAATGGTGCAAAAAATTAAATTTGGGACCTCTGATTTTTTAGCGAGTACTCACATGGATGTGTCCCAATGTACATATGTATGCCTACAGGTTTTGGTAAAATCGGTGTAAATCGATCATAAACTGATCGTAATTTATATAAGTTGCAAATGACACGATCTCCCACTGCACAAATTTGGCAGAGATAAATCTAAAAATCTGTGAGAAATATAATTGACAAGTTTCGCATTTTTCAAATTTACAGCGCCTTCTCTTTTCTTCGGATACTTTGGCTATCATAATTTTTCGCGTCTTACCTAAAATTGGTAAATTCTTTGCTGGAACTTTATTACATGTAATTGATTAGACTTTGATAAAGTATTTCCTTTTAAAATAGGAAATATTTAATATTTAATATATATTTATTTAATATAATCCTTTAATAAATACAATTTATAATATTTTTCTAAAAAATAAAACTAAAAAACTATAAAACTATAAAACTAATAAAACTATAAAAAATAAAAATAAAACTAAAAATCCTTTAATAAATCTATTTATTTAATATTCAATATTTATTTAATGTAAACAAATTTTTGTTCTGTCTAGAAGATGTTATAAATTTATCTTGTTCAAATCATTCCTATTAAATTATCCGGCTATACCATAAATTTGGTTAGGTTTACGACGTATAATAACATCATCTCCGGCAAGTTATTATACAATTGCGTGAATTAAAGAATTGTATAAAGCGAAAAAGAGGATTAGCAAAAATAAAAGGTTTCCTGGTAGGTTCAAAAGTTTTGTGATAAAGGTGGCCTACTTTTTCAACCCCGCTGTATACTCTTTTGTTATTTTTTTTATACACGTATCTAATATTGACCACACCTAAAGAAGCCGGTTTATAAAAAAGGTCATTATAACTAACATGTTCCTACCGAACACAGTTTATTGACCTGGTCAAAATATGATCCAGCAGGGCAAGTGTATGAATACAAGCGCATGACCCCAGCGATGAGTACGCAGCGATTATATTTTGTGCAATCTGTAGAGTCAGGGAAAGTACCCTCCGTGGTGCCACACTGGAATGGGGCAATCGTTGTAGATGCTGAGGTGGTCGTGGGTGCTGCTGTGGTCGTAAGCGCTGCTGTCGTGGTAGCTGCTGGTGGGGTGGTGGATCCTGTTGTATATGCTGTAGTTGCAGGGGGCAGTGTTGTTGGAGGACTAGTGGCTGGACAAGTTCCCAACACACACAATGCCTTAGCCGGATCAAAATATGATCCAGTAGGACAAGTGTACGCATATAACCGCATGACTCCTGCGATCATTACACAGCGATTATATTTTGTGCAATCTGTTGGTTCAGGAAAAGTGCCTTCTGTGGTTCCGCATTGGAATGGAGGTAGCGTGGTGGGTGCTGCTGTGGTCGTTGGAGTCGGTGTGGTTGTGGGTGCGGCAGTGGTGGTGGGTTCCGCTGTGGTCGTGGGTACTGTGGAAGGCTCAGTACTTGACGGAGACTCAGTTGTTGGAGAAGTTGAGCCTGGACAAACGCCAACCACACACATTGCCTGGGCCTCGTCAAAATATGAGCCAGCAGTGCAAACGTATTTGTACAACCGCATGACTCCGCTGACCAATACGCAACGATTGTACTTTGTGCAGTCTGAGGGGTCTGGAAATTTACCTTCGACGTCGCCGCACTGGAATGGGGCTGTCGTCGTGGGTTCCGGTGTTGTTGGCGGCTCGGTGACTGCAATAAATTTGTAAATCTTGTTTTCCCATCTGTATTAATATTTTAAGGATTGAAAAATTACTTGGAAACTCTTGGCACGCTCCTGAAATCTCATCGAAGTAGCCTCCCGTGTCGCACTGAAGATGAACGAGTACATAATAGTCACCGTCCAAAAAGCATTGATAAAACGATGTTCTGCAAATAATTATCAGGTTGATTTACGCATTTTGACGAGTGTAAAAAACGTATTAAGTATTACATATCGTCAGGATCTGGAAAAGGTAGTTCATCAACGCAAGTGTCGTTGGTAAGTTCATCCAAAATCCCTATTCTCCATTTAATTCTCAAAAAATTTGAATCGCCGTCTTGATAAATATTCTTTGCAATAGTGCTATCCAATAAAATTGTTGCGACGACAAATATCTAAGTTTACACGGAGCCGGAATAAATTTATTTGTATAAGTGAAATGTGCATATAGACAAGAAAACTTACGGATAATGCCGTCATGCAAATTAATTTTGACCCCATTTTTCTGTTTAGTTGGACTCCCAGCAAACCACGATCGGAATTTTTAATACTGAATAAAACATCACTATTTATATAATGGCAGAATTAATGTTATGCTCTTGCCAGATCGGAGTATGAAAGAGTACCGACATTATTACCCTGCACATAATTATTGTTAAAACGAATTCTCCGACAATATTAATCATCTGTAGTATTGCTTCATATTTATGTATGTAGCTTGCATAATAATTAAATTGGGTCAGTCGCTGTCGTCAGTTGAGACTTTCACTAGGTATCCTACTGGTTTATTCACACCATAAAGTTGACAAGTGTGTTGTTGCTTTTATATCAAGCAATGCATCCAAGCCAACCTATGTATATATGTACGTTCATGCAGCTTTTCACGCTAATGCTAACTTTCAAAAGCTGTTTGACAAAATTTACAAGAACTTGAAGAGAGATTTTTACGGAGAGTACTCATCCTCAGCATTATTGTTTAAAGGACCTTTACTTTCCACATTTTGAAAATTTCCTTCCGCTTTGTATATATGTTCTTTCGCCATAAAATGATACCTCATTGAGGAATGATTAAATCCAGGAGAATAATATATTAGCTAACTATAAGTCGGACCCCTATCATGGCCCAATATCTGACCAGAGTATCAGATTCTGTCAGTCTATAAAAATTTCAGATGTTTTGCATAGTCTGAAAAGTTACGATTCTGGTTTCAGATTATGAATGTGCACAAAAAGTAAAGAAATTTGTTCAATTTGGAAGACTGCATTTTGGTTTAGGTTTCCATCGTTTCTTTTCCGTTTACATATTACGTCTAAATAAACTTACTTGCACGCATAACCAAGTAATCTGATGTTAATCGTGGCACAACTAGTATATATCCAAATAAGTTCAGTGTATACTTCTATTGTTATGATATGTTACACCTCACCTAACACCTTGGAATCATACCTAGTTGGTGAATACCCAAAATTAATGCACAGCGACAATGAGCTTGTGATAAGCTCGATAAGCTGCTGAGTTGTTGATGATGTATTCATAAACGATATTGGCAGTGAACTTGTTTTGATGCAATCCAAAGTTATATTTATTACCAACTGTCGGTGCACTTAATTGGTTGCGAACTGGAATTCAATGCAATATAATTTCTTGGATTTCATAGTTGTGCGTTGCTTATTAATTAATTAATTGATTCGATTATGAATTTACTGCGCCCGCATTTTTTAGCATGACATGCAACATGCCGCCGATTAATTGTACATACTGCGCAGTAAAGAAATTTTTTGAAATTGCACTTCGGCACATCCATTTCTTCAAAGAACTTGTTGACAGATTAGATACTGCAAATAAAAGAAATTATTACACCACTGTCGTAAAATACTTTAATATATAAACCAATTTGTCATAGTTCAATTGAGTGTTCACTCCGTCTTCTTCTTACGATATCATGTTTATGTATAAAAGTATGATTTAAAACAAAAACTATTTATGATTAATTAAAGTTGTCACAAAATCTTGAGCTTATTATCGGCCGTGATGTTGGAACAATGACAATAGATTTATTGCCGAATGGTTGCAAATTTGTTACCATGCTCGCTATGTATATAGGTAACTACTGTAGCTGTGGAGTATTAAAATAGCCGACATGTACAAAATAATATTATTCCTTTGCATTACGATTACGTTGTTTCTACTATGATTTATTTCTTTATTTTGCAATATCGGTTACTTATTGAGGAATTATGTAAACAGAATTAAGCATCAAATAATTATGACGTTAAGAGGTAAGAGGAAATATATTGCATATAAGTATGTTAGTAATCCCGAGTCAGACGATTTTATGAGCTAACCATAAAATTGTTGTACAAATTACCAGTGATGCAAGACTTCCGACGAATTAGATGCCTACTTAATAACTTCGAAAATTAGCCTCACGCCGTTCTCGGAATATTTGCATATAAGTATCCGTGGTAACAATATATTAATTAAGTCGGAACTTGTTTGACAAGAGAATCACACAAATTTGGCAATAAATGGGGATTAAGTGTTTTATAAATATAATGCAGCGTTTCAATCTTCGTTGTCAGTACTTCACCGGCACTCTAACAGAACGCAGGAGGCAAGATGGGGTTCCAACTTATTTGCAAGACTACACTTTTCGTAAATTTGCATAATTTTTTATTTTTACATTTTCATATTTATAAACAAAATTATTCATATACATACAATTATTCAAATTTATTGGTGTCATATGAATATGAATTTAGGTCCTTTTGCTGGCCGGCGTTTTAGTGGAGGACACTTTAAGTAAAAGCGTGTACGATCATATTCAAGGATTTTTGGGCTATGAGACGAAAATTAGTAACGACTCTTGTCTGGGGACGGAGCCATTTGCGGATCCGGACGATGCGTAAGTTTGACATGGTTTTTTGCCTTCATTAATACACAGGGTGACTAAAATGTGCCGCTATGCTGGAAAATTTTTCAAAATTGAAAAAAATTATGTAAATTATGTTCCCGAAGTTCTGCCTCTAAAATTCCTCATTTTAATAATTTTGTGATTATGTTTGATCAATTTTAATATTAAATAATTGATTAATTGCATTTATTCAACCAATTAAAAATAATTGGTTGAATAATTAATTAATAGAAATCTCAATTCCAAATCCCCTTCTTTTGCCAATATAGATTTATGAGATTTTCACATTGCAAAATTTTCAATTGTATGATATTTAAACGACCCTGTATTTAAATTCAATAGTGAAAAATACTTAATTTTATGTAGCACATCCTTCTACCAATGCTTTTGGAATGATGATGGAGAACGTTGGGATATTGTCCACTTAGAATGCCCACCAGGAGGCTACTTTAACCAAGAACATGGCGTATGTATGCTCTGAAAAATTGTGAAAAATTAGTTAATCAAATCAAGAAATTTTACAAATTTCGTTATGTATCGCAACACTTCAATTTGTTAGTAATAAATTTTTGCTGATCTTTTTTGTCGGGGTAAAAATTTTGCTGCAAAATTATAACTCATTTTATTTGGACTCCATAATGCTGTTCTACGGATTATAATAAATAATTTTACATTAATTTCAAAACATAGTTAACATGTTAACACATATGTACTATGATAAGCTTGGGCACACTTCTAAATATAATTCCGAAGTTACTAATCTAAAAAAAATTATCCTGGCTGAAACCAGGATAAAAAGTTATGGTAAAGAACATTTAATAAAGAAAATTTCACATTTACCCCAGAGTGACTCAATCAAATTAATTAATTAGGTTGTAAACTTATTGGAGCCTTATTTTAGAACATGCCGCAACGTAATAAATAAGGTATTTACTCAATTGCAAATGATTATCCGTATTGAGTAATAAAAAAACTGTCCAGATTGGTATATCAATGGCAGCAATAAATATTTTACTTTTGCCGGAACCGTTTGATATCCCCAATCTGAAATAAGCTGATTATACCTTAAATGTGGGCTTATCCACATTACGAAAAGTTTGAGGCCCCAATTTTAATTGTTTAGTGACACTGCAACGAGACAACAAATCGGTAAAATGGGGTTCCCATTAATTTTCAAAACTGCTCTTTTGGTAAATTTTCATAATGTAGTTTACATTTTTTAAAATTATTGATAGATGTATTAAACTAATTAAATTCATGTATGTGTTGTGAATTTATGTATGCAGGTATTTGTTTTAGGCGTAATTTTAGTGAACGACACGTTACATAAAAGCATATACAATCAAATCAAGTCACTTTTGGGGATTGGGACAAAACCACGTCATACTAACGATTCCTGCCTGGAGAGAGAAATAATTGCGGATCCGGACGATATGTAAGTAATTTTGAGACAACGATTTTTTAGTATAAATCTAAATACAGGGTGGTCTCAATGTTACGTTATATTGGAAAATTTTTTTCCATGAGAAAAGCCCCTAAATCTCCGTTAGTTACAAGATTTTGGATTGAGATTTTGATTAATATTACCAAAACTGATGGTACACTGATAACAAAGTTCTTAAAGTGTTGAATTTTAGAAACAAAATTTCGGTAACTAATGGAAATTTATGAATTTTTCCCGTCGAAAAATTTTTCATTGTAGCGTGACATTTTAACCACCCTGTAGATATGTCTATTTATGTATCTAATGGTAAATCAATTAATTGTACGCAGCACCTTCTTCTACCAATGCTTTTGGGCTGAAGATCCAACTTGTGAGTGTCACTACTGGCACATTATGCACCTAGAATGCCCCTCAGGAAGTTACTTCAATCAAGCACGGGGAGTGTGTGCAGAAAATTTTGAAGAATAAACATTGAATCAAGAAAATTGGACCAGTTTCGTAAAATTTATTTATGCTTCGAAACACTCGAATTATTAAAATTTTTGTCAGTATACTCTAAATAAAAATAAACCCAGTTTATTCAAGGAAGGGTAAAAAAGAGTTTGAAACAACAATTGGATAAAATTTGTCGAACCTAGTGCAAAATTTATGTACCGGCATTAAACTCATGCCATGCATAATTAGCGACCCATTTATTCAGTTTGGAAAAATACTCGGGAGTGAGTAAAGTATTTATTTACAGTACCAAAGTTGGTACACTCTCAATAATTTTTTGACGATATTGTTACCGGCGGAGGTACATACTATGGAATTCTACCGCTCGGGTAATAATTTATCACCGAAGGGTAGCATATATACAGAGGCTAAATCCTGCCCGACCCCTAATGTCAACGCTCGGGTAATAAAAATATTACCGATACCGGAGGCAATTTCTTACCCTCAGAAGACAATTTGTTACTATAGGGTTACCACGCGGTAGAGTTGCATAGTATCTCCGCCGGTAACGATTTTGTCAAAAAATTATTGAGAGTGTAATAGCATAGGTACATATTTTAATCCAAAGATTGATCATGATTAACACTGGCCACTGCACTTCTGCCCGGATTGGCAAAAAGTATGACAAGGATGTACTGGACATTGGGGGCCGCTTTGCTCAGCCTTGTTTTATAAGTTGAGTCCCACGCAGCCCATTTTTCCCATATCTCGTGTAACTGGAATATGACAAATGTGTGCACATTACCATGGTGTGCACATGACAAGGAAAGTACTGCACAAGCTTTGCAAGTAAAAAACTACTCTTCTTTTAATGTTCACACCATAACTTACAAGGGATACTCCTGAGGTGAGCTACGAGTTCAGGGTTGCCATCCAGATCAACATTGGCAGAGGATAGATCTTAAAATGTGAAGGAAACAGGGCCCGAGATTGGGGAGGGCAACCGGGGCGATTGCCCAACGCGCCAAATTTCTGAGGGCGCCCGAAGGTTTTTGTTGTTTGCCTAGTCTCCAAGAAACTAGACAAACAGTTCAATTGTTGTACACTACAACAGACAAGGTTATTGATCAAATATGGAAAATATCTAATGGTCCTTGTACCTTAGCATCAGGCATCAATCTCACCTGCCACATATTTATTTTCCCCAAATGATTCTCCATTTTCGTCCTATTTTATAAAGGATGCTGGTTTAATTCGACTACATTTCTTCCTGCAAAAGAAATGTCTGTCTCAGAAAAACGAAAGTATAAAGAACGCCTTTTTTGTGAGATATCTTGTCGTGAGATATCATGTCGTGTACTCTTTGTTTTAGGCTATGTGCAGCAGGGTTCGCCACCCCGGGTTATTGTGGGTTGGGGTTTTGGGGGTTTTTGCGGGTTTTCGTGGGTTTTTGTGGGTTTTTCCGGGGTTTTTGTAGGATTTTGAGGCAGATTAAAACAAAATCCCATAAACTACAACTTAGATCAATGTTAATTAAATTTTCTGATTCATCATGAAGTTTTGAGAATTTTCTTGTGCGACTTGAATTTCCAAATATTATGGCATATTTCCAGGCTTACATGTTAAACATAAATTTTCGATGTAACAGTCCAAGTCAATGATAACGGTTAAAGTTGCATGATAAATTCGTATATTAGATTAGTTTTTCTCTAATATATAATTTTATTGGTTCAACCTACCCCAAAATTTACAAAAACCCACAAAAACCCACAAAAACCCAAAAACCCACAAAAACCCCAAAAACCCCGGAAAAACTGACGGGGTTGGGTTTTTCTACAAAAACCCCGGGGTTTTCCGAACCCTGATGTGCAGCTTGATATTAATCGTGCACAAAAGACAGAGGCTACGGCAAATTCGATGAAGGTGTTTTCATAAAAATCCTCATCGAATCTAGTTTTCTGTTAATGGATTGGGTTAGGAATATTCTCAACGTCTTTTAACTAAATCACGAACCTGAACAAATTGTAGAAAATACTACAAATCTATAAAGGCATTAAATTTTAGCGACTCTTAAATATAGGTAAACTGTCTCATAAATAATATTCGGGTTGCCTACATGGAAAACGTCTCTTAACACAAAAAGATTGTCTCATTAGTATTTACATTTGTCTCATAATTGGATTATTCTTTCTAAACCATTTCTTATCTTTTTCCTTCTCTTGAAGTGCCATATACCATGCCTGATTGCAGGCCAATCATACGGTATACACAAAATACTCATGGTTTGTTCCGAGGTATTCCTAGTTTTCCTCTCATTTTTAAATATTTTAATTAAAATGACGTCACAAGTACTTCGGTTTGAATCTGACAACTCATAGGGATTCAAAAGGTCCTTAAAACGGCAGGATTTTATTGTAAAAAAAGTTTCAAATTGTAATCTATTTGGCATCAATGCGAAAATGCAAGGGCAGCAAATAATATTATTAGGAGGGCAAAAAGCAGAGGCTAACATATACTGGGCATGGACGAGCCATCCTTAATTAATTCCGAGTTTGACTTCGAAGAATATCTAGAGTGGTTTGGAGTATTTGTATCCACAAGCCATACGTAATTATTCTCCCTGAATTCTAATAGCAGATGCAGCAGAATCAATCACTAACGCATTTTTCGGACCTAATTTCATCCGTGTTTTTTGCTGGTTTAATTTCTGCAAGAACATTGATTCGCACAAATCTCTTCTCAAGAACAAAAGTTTGTGGAGTGATATAAAAACGGACTTGACACATCTTCAACTGGCAAAATTAGTTGAGGAGTTTAATCTTGGACACATTATTCTGTCAAAAGCACAGGGAAAACGCAAATGATTTTATTGAGTATATTAAAAATGAACACATTACTGACATTAAATATCGGACAAGTGGTGACGTAGTTCAACATTTTATATCTATAAATTTTTACAGGTGATTGCTAGGTGACACGTTTTCTAGTCCTCGATAAATTCCTATGTAAGGTATGAAATTGCCTTTAGGATTCTAAGTTCTTCGAAAGTTTTCTCGATTGAAATCAAATCGAAAAGATGTTAGCCCAGAATCTTAATCTATGCAGTTTTATTGCACTTTAAAAACTTGTAGGTTTTACATCATTGATGTTAGTGAAATAGGGCCAAACTTGGAAACGTTAGAAAAAATTCTACCTTTCCAATGATACCCCAGTTATGTGGCTCCGTGACCTTTGACATTGTGGCCTTTCGGTCCCCGAAAGAAGGGCACACAGTAACTTAGAAACGTTAGAAAAAATTCTATAAGATCAAAATTATGGATTTTGTATCTCAAGAGGAATTCTGGGCACATATAGACAAAAATATTTGCCATAATTTGAACTTCACATCGTATTCAAGAATTCATGTTTGACATTCTTATTTTTGGGTCGGGCATCCCTTTTTGGCAAAGAATGTATATTTGAGGGAATGAGTTATTTAAGGGCAAAATAAACTACACGGTAGCGAATGATATAATCTTTTTACTAGACATAGAAATATTTTCTATTTAAAACTCATGTATTTGCATGGCAAAATAAAACGCATTTGACATGCGTACTTCCTCAAACAAAATGAGAATATATAGAAAAACGTACATGTGTATTTAATAAAATCTGTTAAGGCGCCAGATTGGTCTTGCCCCGGGTAAAATTTGGGAAGATCGGGCGCTGCTGAGGTGAGTCTATAATTGCGACTGACGTTGAACCCCATTTGAAATATATTTCCTGTTAAAAATTTTGTACGTTGATCCAATTTTTGGAGAAACTTTGTCGTGCTTGGAGAGTTTGAAGCTCACAGTAAATCAGGGATCATTGCTGCACTTAGGGTAGATTCAATGGCCTCTAGTCCATACAAGTTTGCATTCACGTGAGACATTGTAACGACGTCGAAATCAGTCTGGTCTAAAAGATCGGATAATTCTTTAGGAACGCTCGGAATTCCAATGGATGTCATGCATGAGTAGAGTGCACCTTGGTAAAAGTTTCCCATTAGAAAGACTGCTAAGTACCAGACCCCAGTGAAAGTCAGGACACTAGCGGCACGAGACATCTTTCCCGAGTCAGTTTGTCCCAAAATCATGGAAATGGACCGAAACAGCTGATTCCATAGTGTAGTATGGATGGTCAAGTAGTGATCTCCTGGCGCTGAATTAAATCCCGTCGTCGCTATCACCACACCGATTAGGATGGCAGCATTTAGTCTCCAAGTCCAGGTGTCAAACGGCATCACCAACGTTTCAAAGGACATCTCTCTTTTTGGGACGAGCACGACGAAGATGAAAGGTATGTAATTTATGGCGTAATTGTACCAAACCATCTTAACCAAAGACCTGGAAATTATCCTAAATTCATTAAACCTTTTATCGGCCAAGGTCTTATAGACTGGTGTGCTTGCGATGATCACGTGTCGTGAGAAAGTCCCGTCGCCAGCGACATCAGACTTGTAAACTTCTTTTGAAAAATTAAATTTTTCCAGGATAACTGCTTCGGCACACATTTCCCCAGGATATTTAACCCCACCGAAATTAGCGATACAATTTTCAGTTATGGGTAATGGGACGTCTAGACCGGTTATCTTGTCTGTCTCGGAAACTATGGCGTTCCGGAGATCCTGCGTGTTCAGCTGTTTCCAGAAAGTTGAGATATCGCTCAGTTTGGAGATACGATGAATCACGGCAAGCCGGGATTTACACGGGTGACACATTGCAAGGACGGGGTAGCCGGATCCGAAAATAATAATGTGGGACGTTATCGTAGTATCCGACGGGAAATGTGAAATCATTCTTACAATCTGGTAATCCAAGTGAATGAAGATGTAGGTCGGGTTTTCGTTGGCGAAAATGATGCTGTGGAATATTTTATCGAGAATGACGCTCCTCGTGTATACTTCGTGTTTCTGAACTGATCCGTCATGCCGAATTGTGGGAGTGAGGAGGAAGGTGATAAGGTCGGTGTGACCCAGGCGAGGACGAAATCGGGAAATTTTCAAGTTGGGTGATGAGTTCTTGATACGCAGGAGATTATACCGAGAGTTGGTGGTATCCCAGTTTCTGAGGTTGTCCAGAAACCGAGGGGCGTATGGATTGGTGGAAATTAT